AGTCCACTACAAACCTGAATGTAAAATACTCGCCCTTAGCTAATATCTCTTAACAGCAAAATATTCGGCCTATGAGGAAATCATTCAAGACTCTCCATCGCACAACTCTCACACTCAGCGACATGGATTCCCTCAAGAGCCTCAGCCAGTTTGCAGTTCAGACTTAGAGCATTCTATTTTCAGGGATTAATTCTCTGGCCTCAGTTGGCCACCAAGATTAAATCCACAAAAATATGTATACTTCTAGGAAGACAAAATTCCTGGCGCGCAAATATGGGATGCAGTTCTTTGCGATGTAAATGAGAAATATCATGGTGGAATAAAAAGATGATACTAGTGATGGATACAATCTTAGATGGATTTGGCACATCGATTTTTGAAGAGGACTTTTTCAGATCGGGCGTTGTCTGTCAGGAGACTTTGTTTGCGAAAGTCCAGGCAACTCTATAAATATCGTCATTGTAGGATGATGCCGTGCTACATCATCTGAGCTGGTCTAAGAAGCAGAGTCTGGGTAGCTTGGACACCTAGTACACTTGACACAGAAGATCGCTGGCTAACATCCAACATGACTCGACCACATTTCCCTCGATGCTTGTGTGCAAGAATGGCCAAAGAGGTTGAAATTTCTCTTTGGTCTGCACCTACGGAGCAGAGTCAACTGTTTGTGTAAGCAAATATACCTCACAGTGGTACCTGCGACATCGAAGACATAGGATGAGTATCATAAAAGACAAATAAGTCATCAAACGTGTGCACATAGCACTGATCATATCTCATGGCTCTATAATTGAACAAAAAATAATAATTTAAAAACTACACATAACTACTCGTCTGGCAGAAAAAGTGGGACAAATATTTCGTGCCATTCAAGCCAAGTCTCCACTACCGGTTGCGATATAGAACCTGTTACTGATTTTACCCTGACGCAGTTCGGTCTCATAATTCAGCGTTTGCATTAGATACCGCTGATCAAGAGCCATTAGCGATGATCCAGGGAAATTGCGATTAGTATATCTTTGCTCTCTCGCTTTTCCAGCTTTTTAGAACTTCATGAGCCACCTCTCATGCGCCTGCCCACCGAGTCCCATACCCACTTCACATGTATGACCTACATGGGACGGAGATTAGCTTCAGATTTCGGAATCACCATGATGGGCTTGCTTGGGAGGTTCAGAGAAGTCAAGCGATGCTGCTTGTAACATTAGTTATGATAGTTGCCGCAGGAGGGCAAGACTGAACACCTGAACGCGGTGTCCTCTAAGAACCTGGGAGTGAAATATCCTCCCAGAGCCAAGTTCAGTCAAATTTCGCAATATCAAAGAAGTTGTCCCACGAGGCAATAATTCAAATCACTCCACCATGTCAATCTTTCACTTCCAACGAGATTGACTCCTACCTGATTCTCACCAAGCATACAGGTACGACTTAGAACATCCTCTTTTCAATGATCACACTTATCTTCGACCTTCTCGAGCCTCAGCCGACCAAGTACACGCCCACGCTGATATCAATACCCGACGGAGGAAACAAAGCGTGACGCATAAATCTGGGAGACAGTTTTTTGGGATGGGCGTGAGATAAATCAGCACAAGTTCACAAGATGACACAGAAGATGGATACTATCTCGACGGGTGTGGGATTTGGAATTTGGGCAAGGAGCTTCACGGATTGAGCTTTGTGTGTGCCAAGGCCTTGGTTGCGAGAGTACAGCTGACACTATAAAAACAAGCAAACGATGGAAGTTGTTGTGGTCCACCTCCTGATGGTGTTCTCCGGTATAGTCTGAGTAGCCTGGGCACCTACCCCACTTGGGAAGGAGACATCTAAGATCAAATTTCGCGCGGAGAAAAATCAGTGGATGACGGAGGCATGTCTGGATAACTCGGGGTTTTTCAGACGTTTCCCTTGGTGGTACTCACGGATGAGGGTTGACTTTGGGTGAAGAAAAAGCCACAATAACTTCGCAGTGGTACTTGCAAATGAAATACGAGGCATGAGTGCGCTTCTTGTAAATTGAGTCACATATTATACACTTCTCTGATATTGTGTCATAGCTAGATAGCTGCATACGCAATTAAAATCTGATGCAAAAAAAAAGATGGCCGCACCTGTAGGAGCCTCACTTGGGTGTTGTAACTAGACATGACATATTTAGCTAGCGTAGGACTGAAGTTCTGCAGTCCTAGAAGATGTATTCTTTAGTCAAATGAGACAGAAGGGATATATCCGAACAAAGAATCTAACCTGTTATCTGATCAATTCATAGTTGTGTGCACACTCACGTAGCTGAGTTATTCCAACAGTTACTATATGATCTAGATGGTAGAAATTACGGAAGCTTGGTGACGGGTTAAACGAGATTTAGGGCCATCACAAATCCGATTACCGTTGCAAACTCAGTAGATCCAACTTGCTGCTGATGTTTAACCATGACCCGAAGAAGAGGGCTAGCGTCAACGACCTCAAGTTCAGCCCTAGATGTGGGGAGAAATGAAGCTGCTATTGAGGCTACGGGATAATCGGAATAATGGCTGCGGATGTTAGAATTCACGGGAAGATAATGGGAAAGTCGTGTTTGAGATATGTTCATACGAGTCTATCCGCGTCGAGGGAGAGATGTGATCACCATGAAAAGAGGGAATACACGTCCTAACATACACTAACCTGAGCATCAACATTTCCAAATTTATCTCCTTTGACTCGGGAAAAGTGCAACTACTCTACGTGACTATGTTTTCCATGCGCATTCTTGGCCACACACACCGTAATCTCAACAGCTACGACCTGGAATATCCGAGATATCTTGCAAAAGATACATTCCATGGCTCATCGCGTGTTCGAATTTAACACTCGGCCACTCATTCGACTCACGCTAAATTTGGATGCCACGATAGAGTAAGGTCATGCGGAAAACCCTGCATGTCTTGAAGGCGGATCCCGACTCACAGCAAAATTCTACCGTGGGAAATGGAGCAGCTCGCGCAGATGAGAATATCAGAGGGTATGGCTATCGCCGGCACTTAGATGCCGAGAGTCTATTAGACCTCGTGGCTGCGAGGCTGTCTGACTGGAGCTGGAATGTCTGTGTGGAAAACTCTATGCGTGCGAGATGGTAGCTGAAGATGCGTGGCTACAATGTCGAGCCGGAGAGACGGCCATCTCATCAGCCTCGGATTGAAATCTCTCATGGCCATCTTCAAAAGCACCGGTCCGGATAGAGCCGTCGGCTTGAGGAAATCCAGCCAGCGTGTCTTTGGACAGTGATACGAAATGCCTGGGCTTTAATAATTTTCTGGGTTTGTGAGGCGAGGCTCGCTGTCATTCTGTAGTCCCGTGCTTCTTGGAGAGATGAATGCGTTTGTTTTCAGACACGCTATTTTAATGAATGTGCCGTGATGCATCAATTGTCACAGCACCTCGGTTGAGCGTGGCGAATAAGGTTAGGCTCTCAGTACGCATACATACACTGAGTGTTGTGAGAGCTTCTTTTTTTTGTCCATTAACGTGCTTAGTATAGTGATTCCTGTTGCACTCCTACTGGAGCTTAAGCACGGGTGGGGCCGGGCCGGATCAGGTTAACTACCGTAAAGTACAAGTGCCTCGTCCCACCTTAATGACCGGACCACCTCAGACTTCACCCATGTGTTGAAACATACCAAGCCTAACCGTCCAGAGAACCCCCTTTTGACGCGCCGAAGCGCAAATTCTTCCTCAGCCTCGGCCACCACGCGCCCGAGCTCTTAACATCCCCATTGACTCCGAAACATAAATGTAGTCCCAGATATCATCATTGCTCTAGCCTTGCACCTTCATATCGTATCGTTGGGTTGTTGTCGTCATTGGGAATTTGTGTAATCCCCTCGCTGTATCTTCCATTTTCCTCCTCCTTTGAACACGTCCCGTTTCCATCATGACTGACCTCAGTAGGGCGTATGTAGATAGGTGATGTGCCGAGTACGTATGTGGGTCTCAGGTGTAGAATCGGCTGAGAAATGCTTCGCAAATATACTAGTTTGAGAGATGTCAGATGTTTGAATACGACTCCCAGACAGACCTAAGCCCGTTCGTGAATCGTATGTTGGTGGTGATGAGTTTTTGTTCAGCTTTGATATGGCTATGAAATCTCTGCCGACTGATCTTTCGACCAAGATATCGAGTGCAACTCCTTCACGTCGTAAATCCCTCAAATAAAATTCATCCCACCCTTTTTCGTGACTGAATCTCGGCTCTGGGAGAATATTCCATTCCCAGGTACGTGGAGGGCACCACTGACAGGTGTTCAGCCTTCGCCTTATTGTGAAAGCTTTGTCGTTGCCATTGTAAACCATCCCCTACGTTCCGTCTCTCTCGAGTATCGAGAAACATCAATGACATCTCGAACTTTCCAATTCGAATCGCCGAATATCATTTGATGTTTGCTTGCCATCTAGCTATGCTACTCAATTAACGGCTTGCGAGCATGTTCGGCGGTCCCCTTGTGCTGGAGATAAACAGACTAAAGATGTTAGTAGTAAATGCTACAAGGTGAAGTATGATTACTGGTACAGCACTACCGACCGTTATCCCAGTGTATGACTAGAGACGAAAGGCTATCGAGTTGTCCCTACAAACTCCTCCCCTCTCGTGCAGAGGCACCTCGATACGACTATCCATCGAGATCTGCCGGTCAACATCGGTCTAGCTCGGAATCTGCACCCTACTTGCCTGGCTTATGATATATTTCATCGTCTTGCCCAGTCCTAGCGGCAACTGTATCTTCTTCATGAGGGGCTTCCATGAATTTCAACATTATTTCAGCATCTTGTAAGCTAGAATTCTCGACCAAGATAGATAGTACGTGTTCTCGTAGCAGTATTGATGGGCAAATGAATCTCACGGGTTTGTAATTGATTTCGAATGGGATTTGAGCATGAAACTAGGTTAAGATATGAAAATATTCTCGCGTACATCTCCCAGCTCGCCCAAGCTAATCCATTCCCATACGCAACGCAGTAAAATCATAGACGACGACCACGGCGACCACCTTTACGACGGGTCGAGTCTGACGGGGTGGGCGTCACATCTTCTATCCTTCCAATCTTCATACCTGATCGAGCAAGGGCACGTAGAGCCGACTGAGCGCCTGGGCCAGGGGTCTTGGTTCCATTGCCTGTAGTTATTAATTAGTATTGATTACTGACACCCGACCGTGACTTTCATACCTCCCGTCGCGCGGATCTTGATGTGGAGAGCATTAATGCCTAATTCCTTGCATCTTGTGGCTACATCCTGGGCTGCCAACATGGCAGCGTATGGCGAGGATTCATCGCGGTCAGCCTTGACTTTCATGCCTCCAGTAACGCGAGTGATGGTTTCCCGGCCGGACAAATCGGTAATCTGTAGAATTATTATGAATCACTTTTCCCTCGGACGGGGGAGTGGAACGAACGTGAACAAAGGTGTCATTGAAACTGGCAAAGATACGAGCAGTAGCGAATACGTTTGATTCCCTGAATCGGTCAGCAGAAGCTTCGTAAGACTATCTCGGTGTGCACGGAGGTAGAACTGGTGATGAGCGTGCTGGGTGAGATGTATTGTAACGGCTCGTTGGATCGCCTACCCTTCACGCAATTGGGGACCGAGAGAAATGTTCTCCTGCGCAGGTCTCGCGGCTTTCTTAGGAGGCATGATGGTCACGTCGAAGGAATTTCGTGGTTTTGCTTCGGCCGGTGTTAAGGGACTGGTGATGCGTGACGAAATGGGCTTGTATTGTTTTTCACAAGATTTCTAATTCAGTGCTGTTGTGCCGAAAATTAGGCGAGCCTTCGTTGTTGGTGGCCTGGTAGCCGCCTTGTGACTTACACATTACTTGCGTCTATGGTTTGCCGGTAGTGCTCGCGATTTCGCATCATCTTCCACCTAGCAGTCAAACTATCTCCATTGCCTAATCATGGCAACGTTTAGACTTTATCAGCACTTTTGGAAAACATTTATGTTCATGCAACTAGTCCCACTCACGACTCCCGTACAAAGAGCGCGGTCAGGTCATGAATGCTCTAATGCTTTCGCCTACCGCATCGTTTAGTGCAATGTTCCCCGAAATTGTATTCTAGTTATATCGTCTTGGTCGAATGCGACCCAATTTGTCCTCGGATCGTTGCCCAGCCTACGAGAGGAAAAATGATATATTTATTGCTTCTGCCAATATAGTGGAGTGCCCAGTACCAGTATTGGCCAGCATGAGCCAGGAACTATGAAATATCTACATGTATCTCTACATTAGCCAGTCTCTCCTGGAGGAAAGTACTCCTCAATTAATGGATGGCACGAGTAGCCTCCGTCAGTTGAGGGTCATAGCACTCCCAACCAAGCAATGCAATTCTCTTACCTTCTTCTCCTCATATCGACGCTAAAATGAGAGACATTTCTTTGGGAAGGACATGAGAGGGATTAGGTCAAGTTTACAAGACGATGCAAAGGAAAGGATATAATCTCGAAGGGCGTATTATTCTGAATTTAGGCAAGAGTTATACGAATTGAGCTTTGTGCGCGCCAAGACTTCGCCTGTGAGAATGCAGTTCACACTACAAACACAAGCCAACGATGGAAGGTGCCGTGATCCGTCTGCTGGTGGTGTTCTCCGGTATTGTTCGAGCAGCCTGGGCACCTACCCCACTTGGGAAGGAGATACCTCAGGCTAAAATTCGCGCTAAGGAAATTTAGTGGATGATGAAGGCACGTCTGGATAAATCAGGGTTTTTGAGACGTTTCACTTGGTGGGTATTCACGGATGAGTGTTGACTTGGGGTGAGGAAAAAGCCACCATAACTTCGCAGTGGTATTCGCAAATGAAACCCGAGGCAGGAGTGCTCTACTCGTAAATTTAGTGATCTTTTCTGTACTTTTTCTCTGATATTGTGTCATAGCTAGATAGCTGCATACGCAATTAATATCTGATGTAAAAAAAAGACGCTAAAATGATTTTATAACGCTAGCAAAATTTTCACCATACCTCAGCTACGATATGAGAAATACCGTTTCTAATTTCCGTGAGATCGATCGCTGCATGGGCAAAATACAGAGCAGCAGCAAGAGTGGCCCTCATTTTCTTCGTCGAAAATGGATAATGTAGAAAATCGACACAGGCATTGAAGTTGTACCCCTGTGTTTGCTTTCACCAGTCAAATCACATGAGTGCATCGGTTTTATGCCTCGATGCCAGTACTGGGTATCGAGGTCAGATCTCTTAACCATCGCCAGAAAGATCGACGGATTGTTCATTTCATCACATCCTTTAGATACCCCGTCAGTGCAGGTGCCCGTGCCAAAGGTACGTAGGAAATTTCTCCCCAAAATAGCCGCATATTCTATGCTCGCGTAAGTGACCCTATCATAATTCTATTAGGACCCAGCGAGTCCTGACCACCATTCGCCATATGCACCAACAAAATGACGAAAAAAAGGCATATGTAATTGTAGATTTGGGCACTTTTCACAACTAGAAACCCGTGAACGAAGATTTGTAGTGTGTTAATGAGATATATACGTTACGATGGTTCCTGCAGATGAAATCAGAGCTTGAACGTTTCAAAAGTCATAGCAGTCATATAGAATATATACAAGGCGCTCTTCATGTACCAAAAGTAGAAGTTGAGTACACACGAAATGGATAAAAATCTTAGCTATGTCGTCCTTGACATTTCCTCGTAACTATTGACTCGAGAGATAACCCAGTAGACGTGGTGATTTATGCCAAGTGTCAAACATGCTAAGACATCATCATGGCCTCAAAGTCGGTATGTTATTCTCCTGAAGCCTGATCAGCCTGTGTCGTTTGGGGCGACGAAAGGGGCGCGCAAGAAGGTCCGAAGGCGAGAAATACTCTTGGCCTTGTAAAATTTGGTTACAATGGGGTGACGAATGAAATTTTGTGCTCGTGTAAACGGGGCCGATTCTGTCAGTATGATTGAAAGTTTTCAAGATACAGGGTGTCCCTCACTTGGGAGCTGAATGTAGATAAGACGTACAACGACGCCTGACAAATTTCCCGGTAACGATGCTGTAGCACAGTCTCTGAGCCTACGAATGAATTGTTGAGCGGATTGGTTTGCAAGGCTTGTGGCTGAAAGGTACAGCTTATCACTTGGTGAAGCGAGTGGAAAAGTAAAGAAGTCCGTATATCTGTCGTGGAGGGTTGTTAATCCTCCCACAAGGACACAAAGTGTTATATAAGCTATATTTTGTTATATAAAACCTAGTGGTTGGCGTTTATGTCAAAGCGTATTGGTACTAACCTCACAATTAATGGGAGATTAGTGACGTGTATTCTACATATCCCTGTCTTTACCATAATTGGAAGCACCAATTTCAACATGAATAAAACCGACGAAGCCTGGTTGAAATAACTTGTGAAGTTATGTCATTGAATCCTTTTCTTCCTCAAAATTTAATCATGTGAATCCTCTCCGTTCCCACTAGTATGTCTCATTTCCAGTCGTTGCGCTGACCTTTCGCTCATTTATTAAACCAGCCTAGTCCTATAGTATATTTTACCATCACACAACGTACTTGTAGGGCAAAATGTGCGTAACAGTATACATATAATCTTGATCTATAACGTCATTATACCCAGCCGCATCCAAGAAGTCTAATTCAGTCCTCGACGGAGAATACAGATCGGGTTCTGCCCTGTCATGAAGCGTAGTTTATCCATTTAGGCACCATTGGGCCACTATAACCCCTATCTCGCTAAGTCGGGAATCGCTAGCTACTTAAGGGTTAGCCTCTTTTCGATTTTATTTCATTATAAATATCTATCGCCATCCAAGGTTACCGCGATTATTCGATAGATTATCCTAATACACTGTGACAAAGTATCAGATGGAGGGCTTTACTGTTGGAATCATCGGGCTGGGTGCCATGGGCAAGATGTATGCCCAGAGGTTAAGTGAAGCAGGATGGAAGTAAGTAATACACCGACCTGATTGCAAAATTATGCAATGTAAGTACTCCTCCAGTTTTTAACCCTTTGAATGATGACAAGAGTGCATTTGGCTCGAGCATTATCAACAGCGAATCTGACTACAATTTTTGTACCAGGCGAGCTGTTGGTTCTCCTTGATGAAATTCTCAGCTACCTTACTTTTTTTTCGTCTGACACCTTTTATTCAATCCATCTTTAAAGCTTTGATTTTGTGTATATGCTAACACAAGTATTAGGTTTCAGATAAAAATTATTTCGCGAGGCTAATAGGTTCCTCACAGGGTCAATGCATGCGACAGGGATGATCTTTATGAATCTCTGCGGGAGGAATATGCAGATAATGTATTCACCTACTCTAGATATTAAAAGCGTCTGAAACGTAAGCAGGAGAGAATAAATATTGTTCCTAATGGTCACTTTGTATCCCGTGCAAGTGATTATATTCTCTACAGCGTTGAAGCCGCTTCAATAGAGAAAGTCGTTTCTACCTACGGACCTTGTACGCATTCATACCTACGGTGTTGTTGTGCCCACAGATTTTGATATTTTCTATTAGCTACAAAACTTGGTGCCATTGTTGGCGGCCAAACTTCGTGCAAAGCTCCTGAAATTGCTGCCTTTGAAAAATACCTCCCCGAGGATGTGGAGATTGTCAGTTGTCATTCTCTACATGGCCCAAAAGTTGACCCAGAGGGTCAACCACTCGTAAGCAGGCGGACAAACACCTCCCGCCCTGTTACCTTTACTTAACAGCCACAGGTACTAATTAAACACCGATCGTCCCAGGAAAGCCTTGCAAAAATTGAGAAGTTACTATCATGCTTCCGATCAATTCCTGTTCATCTTTCGGCTTCGGAGCATGATCATATAACTGCTGATACTCAAGCAGTAACTCACGCGGCATTTCTCAGTATGGGCAAGGCGTGGCATGCGACCAAGCAATTTCCATGGGAAAATGCCCGGTATGTCGGTGGAGTGGAAAACGTCAAAATTAACATCACGCTTCGTATCTATTCTCAGAAGTGGCATGTCTATGCCGGTCTAGCTATCATGAACCCCTATGCCCGAGAGCAAATCCGACAATATGCACAATCGGTCACAGAACTATTTAAGCTAATGCTTGCCGGTGATCACGCTCAGCTAACTGAACGCGTAAAAAAAGCTGGAGCCTTTGTTTTTAGTGGTCATCAGTGGGCTGAAATTCGTCTACAGGATGAGCTTCTAGATCGATTTTCATTGGGCACGAAAGCTGAAACTCCCCTTCCAAATAACCATTTGAGTCTCTTCGCCATGGTGGATTGCTGGTTTCAGCTTGGTATCGTACCATATGACCACATGATTTGCTCTACTCCTCTCTTTCGTCTTTGGCTGGGAGTCACTGAGTATTTATTTCGAAAGCCCGCCCTGCTGGATGAAGCACTGCGCACAGCGGTGGATGATAATTCTTTTAGATCAGAGGATTTTGAGTTCACTTTCGCAGCTCGAACTTGGAGTGAATGTGTCACCTTCGGCGCCTTCGATCACTACCAGGACAGGTTTGAGAGTACACAAAAATTTTTCGAATCTAGGTTTGAAGACGCCACCCGAGTTGGAAATGATATGATCAAGTGTATTTTGGCTGCCTCTGCAAAGTAGGTTTACGATATCGTAGTGATAGAAATGCTTGCTTGATCTGAAGAGGGGATTACGGTTCATAAATATATAATTCACGATAGTATATAGAACGCTGTTAGAGGGCTCTGATTTACTCGTCTAGGATATCGGAACATGATATGATATATTATCAAAATAGGGCGCAGTTGAAAAGTTACCAAGAGTTCTTCAAACGTTTTGTCTAATTGAGCCACCTCCATGTGCCTGGCGATCTTGTCCAGTATAAGTGACTTGGTGTTTGAGAATAATTTGCCTAGCCGGGTAGCTGGTATCTCTATTAAAATCATGATACTTTCTATCTTCAGCCCAAACATGTGCAATAGCTGATCCCAATAGTCCAACGAGCCCAGAACCAAACCCCTCCATTTGCTCCATTCTTTAACGATATGATTTTTGGTACCTTGCTCTGGCACCGGGTCCTTTTTAAATTAGTTCGCGTGCGTGTTTGATGAATCAATGTTGCTTACCTCCAAATTTCTTTGGCTCGCACCGTCTGTTATCGGCAACTAGTAAGGTTCTATCGTATTGTACAAGAGACCTCTTCAACTCGTTTTTGGAGTGTTCATCGACAAACTTCTGGTAGTAGGCAACAATTGATTTTGCGATAGCCTGTCGGATTGCATATACCTGTGATACATGACCACCACCGGTAACGCGGACGCGGATATCGACGTCAGCAAATTTGTCCAGACCAACGATTAAAATGGGCTCGTAAACTTTGAATCTTAGAATTTCGGGTTGAACAAGTTCCAGAGGCTTTCCATTAACTTTGATTAAACCCTTGCCGGCCTATCCCATAGTGTTAGTGGACTTTGTTCGCTCGCTCGTGCACGCTGCATTTTGTAGCAACCCACCTTGCACTGAGCAACTGCAGTAGCAGTCTTCTTCTTCCCGAAACATTGGACAATTTGCGTAGATGAAGACATGTTGACGGCGTTAGGGCGTGGTTGTCGTTCTGATGCGTGAACTCGAGGGTGCGGGATGGTGGATTTTTGACGATAAATTCCAGATTCGCTTGGAAACTTTGTGGGCGACACTCTCCAATCCCTGTGCCGGGACTAGCCAATCACACCAGGCTATCGTCAAGCTCTTGTGGTGGACCCGCCAGCTGTATCATTATCAACTTGCCATTTCGCAACCAACACCATCCAAATGTCTCGTAAAGGCGTTGGGCTTGGGGCCTTTAATCGCTCGCGCATAACTTCTGCTCAATATGCCTCTCATGGCAATAATCTCCGGACCTCACACTCTACTTCCCTTGAAAACCAGCTCTCCGTCTTTCGTTCCCTGCTCCAGCAGTTTGCTCAGAGCCATGGAAAAGAGATAAGGTCGAACCCAAGCTTTCGCGCCGAATTCGCACGCATGTGTACTGTACTGGGCATCGATCCGCTCACCAGCAGTCACGCTTCTGGGGGTAAGGAGGGAGGTGGCAGCTTCTGGGCGCAGCTCTTAGGCGGCAGCGTAAATGATTTCTATTTTGAACTTGCAGTTCGAGTGGTGGAAGTTTGCAGTGCTACCAGAGAAGAGAATGGTGGGCTTATAGGGGCTAAGGAAGTTAGAGATCGAATTATGAGTACCAAGATTGATCACAGTGCTGATATGACAGAGTATGGATGAACTTCAAGTTTCAGCAGACGTTCTAACACATAGAAAGAGATGACATCCTCCGCGCAGTAGAAACCCTTAAACCCCTTGGATCTTCCTACTCGACCGTTCAAGTTGGAAACAAAACCTATATTCGCTCAGTGCCTCGAGAACTCAATATGGACCAAAGTGCTGTGCTAGAAGCGGCGCAGTTGCTCGGTTACGTCAGTGTATCCATGATTATGGTCAACCTACGATGGCCTCGCGCGAGAGCAATAACTACCATCAATGATTTAACGACTAATGGCATGCTTTGGGTTGACAAACAATCTTCTGAATGGGAGTACTGGAGCCCGGGATCCATGGTACAAAGTGATGAAGCAGGAGCTATGTAACAGGGACAATTAGGCTGGCATGCCCTCGATTCAGTATGTATCCTGATCTCAAGCCTAGGTTATTGGAATTCAGAAATATGATGTGGACGATCCTTCGGAGTAAAGGTAAGTATGGGCCAACCTATTCTCGACTTAACATATTAGGGTTATCCGATCTACGAGGAGACAGATACCCCTTCCCCTAGCCGCCTCGAAATCTAGGAATACGACTCACAATAGTAGTATCCTGAAAAATATAAAAACAGACACCACCCGCTCTCATGCGCCGCGGCTACAGACTGCTTCAGATTTTAATGGAGTGGAGGCAAATTTCTGAGAAGGGCTTTAAATCTGGTTAGGAAATTGTAGGTAAAAAACCAAATAGCACAAAAAATTATGGCCAGGAAGACCATAACAACAGTGAAAACCTCTCCAGTTGAAAATTGGTTCATTTTAGGATCAAATGGTCGGGAGGTTCCTCCCGAGTGACAAATAATTGCTTCAAAGACTCGTGGTTGTGTCTCAGCGGTTAGCAGTGAGGGTATAGAGTATCAGCAGCAATTTGAGACTAGAAGTAATACTCTATAAAATCTGCATGTTTAAATCAATATTTTTGAGTGAATAATCTTCAATAGATTGCCTCGCAGGAATGACAATGCCCTATTGGCCCTGGAGGATATCTATCCACCCTTGTGAGAAGATATATTCATAGTTGAGTTTGATCTATTCTTAGCAAACAAAAATTTGAAAATTTGCATGATATCAATCCTTGCCACGAAATCTAGTCAATTAAAACAAATCGTGTGAAGCGTCTACTACCTACAGCATTCGTTGACCATGGCGCCTACACTTCCGAGCAGATAGCTTTCATCCATTCTCAAGGCCTTCTCGCTGATAAGAAAAATGGCCAGTGCAAGATCTAGCATCCCTTTAAAGGAGATTTGTCCAAGAAAGACTATGATCCCAGCCGATCACATCTGTTTCAAAGCAGTGGGTATGGTGAATGAAGAATGCTGACTTTCTATCGCAACGCTAGATTCAGGCCAGCTCAGTCTTCAGCCCTCATTTTTCCCACGAGTCTCTAGACTTGGGAAGACATGAGCAGAAACTTCCAGTGTCGAGGACTGTTCGGATGGGCATTCAATGGATTGTGGCGCCACAACAAACAACTTATCCACTCCCGCGTGAGGTCAAGCTTATCAGCGGTTGTATTTGCTCATGGCTTATGCCTAGGAGTGAATAGTCCAATGCTCGAAGATGAGTGAGTCTTGCGCTGTGTTGGTTGGCCCAGCTCTTCCTCGTCCTACGGCTTCGCCATCTGAAATTTAGTGCAGCATGAGTTTGTATCGGCCCACATCGATGGCTTCTACCTCACTTTCTCTTAGATCCGCAATGATGAAACTATGGCACTTCTTGCATATTTGAGCCCGAGCAGATGGCTAGCAAAACTAAAGAGATACTTCTAGACGTCATTACAACCTCCTCTACCCACTTCTAGTCTCGTCACCCTGAGCTCGATTCTGATTACACCGCCGCTTGTACGCGTCCTCCCATCTCAGCGTCCAAACCCCCATGCCTTTCCAAGGAGGTGGTGCATCTAGGTTGGGGCAAAAAATTCATAATGGCATCATCAGTTTCACGCGCGCTTCTCCAAAGAAAATTCCGAATCGTTAGACCTGCGGTTGAATCTCTGGTATTCGGAGCCTCGAGATTTTCTACCACTGTTTTGTAGTTCGTCATCATAGATCTTGTCCACTGAAATGCATGTCACGCGTTATGCGTAGATTTGCTCAAGAAGCCATCTCACGCCGGGCCCGAAAATCTGGAAATCTCAAGGCCGTATTATTCGCTAGAGAATTAGTCTTCTTTGTATCGGCTAGTCGCGGGAGGGACTTTGCAGACCCAATAATCAGCCAATCCTCACAACCTTGGGCGGAGCGGCCCTCTATGCAGCTAGATGACAGTCGATGCGCTTGAGTGGGGATGTTGCGCACTTTCTCAATTACTAGCCATCTTTTGTCACTCCGCCAGCCCCCTGAGATAAGGGAGCTACGGTAGTTTTTTAAATAATCAGGCGTATGCAACCTAACTATCTATGACACTTTTTGGGACTGGCGTAACTCTAGACTTTGCGTTTGTCTTGTTCCTTGCTCTGTGGCAAGATTTCCCATCATTTTATCTCCTTCACTAACTATTCGGACCGCGTCGAGATGAATTGTGTCTACAGAACCCTTTGTAAAGGTCTCCGTCTGTGACGGCTTATGAGCCGATTGTTGTGTGGCACATGATTGTATTCACGTGCTTCTATATTTCTACAGTAGTCTAGCTTTATTCTAGATCAGTTCAGCTGTGACTGGAATATTCTAGTAACTGGTAGCAAGACTGGTAACTGCATGACTGGAATATACGAGAAGCAGATATCAGTCAAGAATGGGTGTTCTAGAGTTCTTCATAGATGTATAAATAGTTGAGGTAATATTTTGATAATTAGCCACAGAGAAAATTATTGCCTACCTTCGTATATCTGATTGCTCCCCCATCGACACTCGAACCGTGACACCGTCAACGCCGAGCCCGTAGACACTCGCTCACGCTTGCAAAGGCATTATTTGAGACAAACGTCTACAATAATTCCAGTCATGCCATGGAAGGAGCGTCAGAAACGGACTCGATTACAATTTGCTAAGAATTTCACAATAATCATTATTATCGTGGTCCTTTTTTTTTGCATCAGATTTTAATTGCGTATGCAGCTATCTAGCTATGACACAATATCATAGAAGTGAATAATATGTGACTCAATTTACAAGAAGCGCACTCATGACTCGTATTTCATTTGCAAGTACCACTGCGAAGTTATTGTGGCTTTTTATTCACCCCAAGTCAACCCTCATCCGTGAGTACCACCAAGGGAAACGTCTGAAAAACCCCGAGTTATCCAGACATGCCTCCGTCATCCACTGATTTTTCTCCGCGCGAAATGTGATCTTAGATGTCTCCTTCCCAAGTGGGGTAGGTGCCCAGGCTACCCAGACTACACCGGAAAACACCACTAGGAGGTGGATCATGTCACCCTCTATCGTTTGCTTATTTTTAAGGTGTCAGCTGCTCTCTCGCAAGCTAAGTCTTGGCGCGCACAAAGCTCAATTTGTAAAAACTCCTTGTCAATATTCAAAATTTCACCCCTGTTGAGACTGTATCCATCCTTCGCTCATCTTGTTAACTTGTCCTGAATTCTCTTACGCCAATCCCAAAGAACAGTCTCCCAGATTTATGCGTCACGCTTTGTGTTCTCCGTCGGGTGTAAATATCGGCGTGGGCATGTATTTGGCAATCAGCTAAGGCCAGAGAACGTCGACGAGAGGTGTGGTCATTGGAACGAGGATGTACTATGTCGTACTTGTAGACTTGATGAAGCTTAGCTGAGAATCGGACTCTTCGGGAGTGAAAGATTGACATGGTGGAGTAATTTGAGATTTTGCCTCGTGGGCCAACTTCTTTGATATTGCGAAATTTGACTGAACTTGGCTCTGGGTTAATATTTCACTCCCAGGTTCGTAGAGAGCACCACTGACAGGTGTTCAGTCTTGCCCTCCATCGAAGTCCTTTCCCAGCCTGAGACTAAATGCAATATATAATTTCTCTCTGTTTGCAGGTCACGGATACCTAGGCAGGTAATGTATATTCTTCTTAGCCTCCTATACGTCTCCCCTCATACCGTACTGTCAGTCACAAGTCCTCATTATTCGTGCGTTTTGAGACTTGTGTCTTTCAATACTGGCTCATCTAGCTAATGAAATAATGACCTGTCGAGAGTGTGTATTAGTCGGGGAAGATCGCAAAAATCACTAGTCATTGTGATCTCCCAGTACCCACATTAGGACTTAATCCGAAGAGACGTTGACTCTTCTGAAGCGTTCGAAGTGGCCGGCCAGCTTGGAGACGCAGACTTGTGAGCACTCACGATTACCCTTTCGCCTCACTCCTCTTCGAATGGTGCAGCAGAACAAACCAGAGGGCATGAATAGATGTTGGAAAGTGCATGGTCAGGAGCAATTTTTGTATATTAACCAAGCCTAGTATTCCAAAGTCGTCAAGGATATAGGGCTACGGAGTAGCTCGTGTAATTTGGTGGTTGGGATTTGAAGTGATGATACTGTATGTTTGGAGTTTATTGTACTACTTGAATCTTGACTATCTAGAACATTGACCTTCGCCGTGATCCAATCCACATCTAGCACGGTGCCCTCAACATTATTCGTCACGAAAATGATTTCTGGTGTATTGCCCATCATGGATAGCCGTTGAGCTCAGTACTTACTCGTGGAATTCAGCTACCGTTTCCAACGATCATGAGAGGGTTTGCATACAAAAGATAGCATCGATATTTGTGACGCCCCGATTATTTTAGTGGCCACATATACGTCGGTCTTCAATCACCGATAAGACGATACAATATCACTCCTAGGTTTGCAACGACTTCTTCCAAATAGACACGGCCCTTGTTTGTGATAAACCACTATTCGAAAGGCTTGTTGTGGATGTCAGTGTTCCTTCGAAACTCTTGGGCTGTAGACTATTTATGTTGGTAAAACACGAAGTAATACAAATTGGGTGCTGTCAGGAAGTCGTTGAATAATGTCAATTAACTGGTATCTCGAAATACATAAGACGTTGTCTCTTCCTCTCCATGTCCCCCTTTTAGCTCTACTCCAAGCGCCTCGCTAATGAACTAAATCAGATCCCTGTCAGTGTCCTAACGACAATCTGAATACCGCAATTACATAAAACAATTCAAACTGCCCAACTATGATCCTTTTACCGACAATTCGGGACATGAGGTTTCCTGTTAATAACTTTATAGGACAGCTGATGAACACCTGTGTACATATATACAGACTCGTATCTTTCCACACACTCTTCCTTTTAGTTTAGAGTCTAATGAGTTGAGCTCACGCCAGCTCTTGACTACTCGTCAGTTGTCCCTCGAGTTTCCACAGCACTCTGATGCGCTCGTCACTGGTATAGAGAGGACGATGATGTGTGTTCGCTTTATGAGACTCGTTATATCGATGGTAACTATCCATGTAGAGAAGAATCCTTCTTACACCTATAACTCATCTATCTACTTGCTAGTAAAATATTCCAAGCCGTGCCATGGATAAGTCTACATTCCTGTCCATCTGATTCACATAAAGCTGTCTACGATGACATAACACTAACCACATCTTGTCTGGGTCTCTGTATCATCCATCACAGCTTGTCTGATTGGCCTAGAGAGTTCACTTCATACCACCATTTCTACGGGACCTTCTACCCAAATATGTATCTATATATAAAGTAGCAATGAAAAATACGTGCGCGGAAAAAGGCTCAAACCCCTACAGCCCCATCCAGGCGAGGCCTTGACACCGGGACTGCATGAGGTGCGCATATTCACATATATCTCCCTTCTCGGTAACATTCGAGGCCGACTTGATCCAATCCACCATCGTCGTATCGGGTGCTGGGTATATTCCGGAAACTCATCTGATGGCTTTTCATCCATGATCAAGGGTTGATGATGAGTAGGGCTCCGACCCTACCATCTGATCTGATTGTGGTTAGCTTCATGAAACTGGTGTTAGGGGGATGTGTTGAGAGATGAAGACGATATCGTCGAAGGCTAAGAATAACTACCGAAGAAGTTGGACAGGAAAACGTCTTGCGTCAAAACTAGGGACTGTCCATACGTACGTGGGTTGTTTGCTTCGGTTAGTGCTTGCATTCTGTACTTAGAGCCGCAGGTTATTCTATTTCTAGCGTATGTCTATATTTAGAGATCAAGATATCAAGTCAATTATGATCAGTGTATATAGTCTTCGAATTCCGGGGGAAATAGGAATCAAGTTGTTTTTACTGAGACATCTTTTTACTTTAATTACATACACTTCGCCTCTCACAGTTCAGGCTCCCAGTTACCTGACAAATATAGACCGCGAGAGCGATTGGGAATCCTAATCGAAGTGAGGACGGAATTACTCAATCTCGGCTTTGCAGACTCTACAGTGAGAGCTGGAGGTTCATAGGGGGCACCGCTGATAGGTGTTGAGAATAGTCCCCTAATCGCGGCCCATAGAAAATTTCTCAAACTAATATATCTTCACATACTAATGATTGTAGTATTTAACATTGATTCCAAGTTAGGTTCTATGATGAGCTACACTAAAAATACTCGATTTATGCTTACTTTGGACTATTAGTCTCGTAGCTGGTGATTCATTTCACAGTCCTTGTACTGCAAATCATAGGCCTATCTTTAACAAGCCATTAGAAAATACAGGCTGGTCATATGGCTCCAGATATGAACAAATCTTAATCGCTATCAGTTTGATCAGACAAAAATAGCGTAAAAACCCAGTGGGACAGTAGTGAATAATTTACGGTGAGAATTTGTACAACGTAAGTTAGTGTATCTTGATAGAAGATTCGTTCAATGTATGGGCTTGAATAAATCCTTCGTCAAAATGCATCAGCTATACTCTTTGTTGAACGCTCTTCCAATTACTATTTTGCGTATTTCTGTTGTCCCAGCACCAATTTCATATAGTTTCGCACTGAAGTTTGAATTAGTCGGATGTTTCTTCAAGGGGGTAGGTCTAAATACTCTCTCAGAAGCCGTGATGCAGGCATTTCTTCCACATATCCCATGCCACCTAGCAGCTGGATGCAATCCAAACTACATTCTGTTGCTCTCTCAGCAGCATACAATATTGCTCCTGCGCAGTCTTGAGTTCGAATCTCCTGCAACTCATCTACATTTTTGGCCGTAGAATAGGTGTATGATTTGGCTGCCTGGAGCTTTGTATACATATCTGCCAGCTTGGCTTGGACAAGCTGGTTGTGTGCAATCGGGATTCCAAATTGCTTTCGCTGATGCGTGAATGGCAGACAAACGTCCAACGCGGCCTGCATAATTCCAAGCGGACCGGCGCTGAGAACTAACCGCTCCAAGTCGAGCCCTTCCATCAAGACTTTGACTCCTCGGTTTTCCTTGCCGAGTAAGTTCTCTTTGGGGACAAACACATTTTCAAACACTAGCTCGCCAGTATTGCTTCCACGCATACCCATTTTGTCAAGTTTTCGGGCACAACTGAATCCATCGGAGCTGCTTTCCACAATAAACGCACTTATTCCTTTTGACCCACAATCCAGGGCTGTCTTTGCATAAACTACAATAATATCAGCATCGGGCCCATTCGTGATCCACATTTTAGTCCCATTTAGGAGATAACCGCCATCAACAGCTGTTGCGACCATCCTCATACTTACGACATCACTCCCTGCCCCGCTTTCAGACATTGCGAGGGCTCCAATCTTCGTCCCGTCGATTAGATGAGGGAGGAACTTTTTCTTTTGTTCTGTTGATCCATTTAGCTGTATCTGGTTCACGCAAAGCTGAGAATGAGCGGCATAACTAAGACCAATAGATCCTGATGCTCTCGATAATTCTTCCATCACAATACAATGGGCCTGGTAACCCATATTCAAGCCACCAAAACACGCATCAGCAGTGATACCAAGGAATCCAGCGTTCCCAAGTCGATGCCACATATTATTTGGGAAGGCATTGGACTTGTCTGTCTTTGCCGCAACTTCCTCGGGAATTTCTCGTCGTGTAAACTCTTGTACTCTTTCGCGGAGCTCGATAAGTTCCTCCGATGATGGGGCCTTGAAGTCGCTGGGATGTTTGCTAGCAATGTTTCGGCGATGAATGAAAGAAGATAAAGTAGGGTGGCAGTTGTAGAAACCTTTTCGGCATGATAGAGAAGCCGAGGTTCGAAAAAACCTCTCTATAGCCATTGGAGATTCACACTTCTATGAATAGATATTCTGGAAATATTTCATGAAATATTTCCAGAGTAGTATGGAGACCCCGTGGCACGTCTGCTGCCCAACGCTGAAGTGCACCTTGAGAAATCTAGGCTGATCCGGCACCAACGATACTATAAGTAAACGATGTCTAATTGGATGACCATATCGGTAGCAAGGAAAGATGCGTGGTAAACCGGTCCAATTTATACAGCTTGATAACTACATTTAGCCTTCTCCCCATGACGTCATTCTTGTTTACGCTGCGACGTTCTGCACCGTCCAGAGATCATCAGACCCAGCCGCTTTGCCGCCATGTTGAACATTTGCCAGTAATTCATGAAACTCTACTTCGCCCAGAGCAACTAGCTGTAAGAAAAGCCCAATCAGCTGATTGGAAATCATTTCGTAATATGCTGCATCAAGACGCGCGAGTCAAAATGATTTGCAGCGCCCATTGCGCCATCAGTGGGATGATAAACTGTCAGCCGAGCATTAATGTTCACAAACGCATGCCGCACATTTGGCCACTGGAAGCTCGACATGCCAGCAGAATAATTCATGCGTTTAGAGAGAATCAAACCTTGGACGCAACAGCTAATCCCACATGCCCGTGGATATAAAAAGAGCCAGATATATTTATTAGGAAACTGTGGAACCTGCCCTGTAGTAGGTGAAGAGAATTTACGGGTATCAACAACTTGATTCTTCCTTGTGCATCGGTCCCCACAAGTCATCTTTCTCAAAGTGGATCGTGCGTTCAACTAGCAAGTTTACCGTCCTCTATTATTGGACCGAATTTAGCTAAATGTGATCCAGACACCCAAGAAACCTTAGACACTTCTGAATGTCTAACAATATTCCCTGCCGAGGTAATCGAGTATTCGCAATAATTAGCACTGATGAGTCTGATTGGTATTAGCTGCTGAGCTGCCTTGGCTAACCTTGTGACCTGCAAAAGATTTACAGAGCTGGGCTTTGGGCTGAGCGTGGTTGGCGTTTGAAGGACCGTGGTGTTGATCTAAATCATGCAAACAAAGTCGGAGCTCTATTAACCCAGACAATTTCGTTCTACAAACATGCGCATTTTACAGTCCCAGGCAGCTCTATAATACAAGGTCTAGACGTGTATATTTAGGCGACTACTACGAACTATCCTATCTTCCCGACACCTATTCTCTCTTATTTCACAGCCCTCAGAACAGTCCACGACGGCTAATAGCCACAAAAGTGTGTGCTGAGTCCTCGAGACGACTAAAAATCCATGTTAATTCATGGGAATTTATCCTAGAAAGATTTACACTGGCCTGAAAATAGGTGTGAAATCTTGACATAATCCATTTTTCTTTCCCCTTGCTTTGGAGGGATGAAATTCATCATTGAAATGAAGCCATTAAATGGCATGTAGACGAATGAGCATTTCTAGACACTCGATCTTGTGGTATAGATAAATTTGGGGGTTACTGTATGATTACAAGCTTACACATACTGTACTTTTGGTGTCAAAAATATATATTTTAGACTACCACACAAAAGTTGCTCGTCGTCCATGATTAAAGGCCATTGGTACCTATACCTCTGGTGGCCTATCCTCTGCTATGTCCTATTTAATGCTTTCTTTCAGCTGTAAAGACCCCACAGATCTCTACTTGGTCATACACTTGGACGTGCTCATTGCCCTTCAAAACCTCCCCTCATCAGACAATGAATTAAAGGCCGTTTTTGGTGTATTACAGCCGATGAATATTACAAGAACTGCTGGCAGGTAATGAGCCTATCCCTTGTATCCTCATGGGTTGCTCTTCTGTGACATCACCATGCAAAGACCGCAGACCATCTGATCAAGAAACAGACACCCTTGATCACATGAGCTCGGGTAGCCCTATAGTACTATGCCGCTGGTAGCCGAGCTAAGCCTGCAAACCGCTATCTTCAATATCAAGGAAAGTAATAATCCCAAAGCGTTGTTACAATGATAAGAAGCTATCAGAGTGCCGTTGAGTCTCAAATATGTCTTCGTCTATCCTAAAGCAGATAATTAGAGCCTCGCGATGTTCTCGCTTCACACATCATAGGCCTTTGGACCGCACACCACGAACAATAAACTCATACAGACCTCTTATACCAAGATGCTTGGCTGCTACATACTGCCCATCACACCACAGCACGGCACTATCCGTGTTGAAATCATCGGTCGAAACATCCTCCGAAGATTTCCAGCAAAATGAAAGGCAAATGTGCGAAGCTATAATGAATATTGAAAATTTAATCACTAAAATACAGATTGGTGGCTCACTCAAGGCCAGAGAAAAACATTTAGCGAGGAATAAGTTGCTTCCACGAGATAGAGTAGCTTCATTGATTGATGTTGGTACATCCTTCATGGAACTATCTCCTCTGGCAGGCCATGAAGTCTATCCCGAGGCCAGCGTACCCGCAGGTGGCATTATCACTGGGATCGGGATAATCAAAGGGACTACTTGCATGGTTGTGGCCAATGATAGTACGGTCAAAGGCGGAACGTATTATCCTATTACAGTTAAGAAACATTTGAGAGCACAAACTATTGCTCGCGAAAACAACTTGCCGTAGGTGACTTACTAGCTTTCCTCACCATAACGGTCGTTTCTGCTGAAGAATTATAGTTGCGTCTATCTTGTTGATTCCGGTGGTGCAAATCTCCCTCATCAAGCTAACGTTTTTCCCGATCAAGAGCACTTTGGTCGCATATTTTTCAACCAAGCAACAATGAGTTCAGCCGGTATTCCTCAGATATCCATTGTAATGGGTAATTGTACAGCTGGTGGAGCTTATGTCCCCGCTATGTCAGATGAAACTATTATTGTCGATGGTCAGGGTCATATCTTCCTCGCAGGACCTCCACTAGTTAAAGCCGCAACCGGAGAGATAGTGACTGCTGAGGAGCTAGGTGGTGGCCGAATGCACACTACTATTTCTGGTGTTGCTGACTACTTAGCCGTTGATGATGCTCATGCCATAGTGCTTGCTAGGCGATCCATCAGTAACCTCAATTGGCCAAAAAGAAGCTTTCCATCCGAAACCACGTATAAAGAGCCTCTTTATAACGCTGAGGAATTGAATGGTATTGCCGGTATTAATCTAAGACGGGCGATACCAGCTCATGAGATAATCTCCAGGATAGTTGATGGGAGCGAATTTGCGGAGTTCAAACAAGAGTATGGAACAAGCCTTGTCACCGGTTTTGCAAGGATCTATGGACAGCAGGTTGGAATCATCGCAAATAATGGAATCTTGTTTAGTACTTCCTCATTAAAGGGTGCCCACTTTATTGAGCTGTGCTGTCAGAGAAAGATTCCGCTTGTATTCTTGCAAAACATAAGTGGATTTATGGTTGGTTCAGACGCAGAACATGAAGGAATCGCAAAAAACGGAGCAAAGCTTGTGGCAGCTGTCGCTTGTGCAAACGTGCCTAAATTCACGGTCATCATTGGTGCTAGCAGTGGTGCTGGTAACTATGGTATGTGCGGTCGAGCCTACAGCCCGAGATTTTTATGGACCTGGCCAAATGCTAGAATCGGTATAATGGGATCAGAACAACTGACCTCGGTCATGGAAGCTGTTGGTAAATCTCATGATTTAGAATTAAAGAATCGAATTGAAAGAGAAAGCGAAGCAATTTATTCCTCCGCCAGGCTCTGGGTAATCCATCCGGAAAATTTTCCAAACGTAACTAACGATTCTTCAGGACGATGGAATTATACCGCCTAGTCACACAAGGCGTGTACTCGGGTTCAGTCTAATGACGTCATTGGGTGGGAAAAACCAACTAGCCGATACCAAGTTTGGAGTTTTTAGAATGTAACATGTTGAAGTTTTAAGTCTAGATATCTCTGTATGAAAAATCCGGGATGGCTCTGTAAAAGCTTAGATTTACATTTAAAGAAAAATGATTTAATAGGTATTGAATTGTATGGCCATAGTGCATAATCAATAACAAGTATTTCCGCTCGCTGAATATTTTGTCTTCACAGACATACTGGCTCAAATTGTCACTCGCAAGAATCACTATGAGGTATGCTAGCTTACACATAACGGCAGATCCTTATCTGTTAGTTTGCAACCAACGGAAATTCAAGACCTAAGTTTTCCAACAAGAATCAGTAAAACTTCTCACTATGCTCGTGTAAATGAACGGTCAATTCATTGGTTGTTTTTTAACGTACCAAGCACAATCCCTAAATCTGATTTAACATGACACGACTAGGTGATTCCTAAAGATTCAATACAAAATTTTTAGGCCAATTCTCAATGATCTATAAAGGAAAACAATAAAATTTTAATTTCCAGATGCATTGACCTAGGACTCGCCTAGAGCCCACGATGTCACCTACCGATAAATTAATTTATATTTTAATATCTTGGCTCACGCTCGGTTCTAGCGGCGCTACCTGTGTGGCAAACCACGCCAAATATGGCGCTATATAGAGAGTTGGGTATCCCTCTTATCTGTTATTATACTGCAGCAACGACAAATCCTGGCTGCCGTAAGGATTCAGAGGCTGGAAGCATAGCATCCTCTTTCATTCAGATCTAGGGAGGGACCCAAGGACACAATAAGCCGCCTCGTTCTTCGCGAAGGTCAAAGGAACCCTTCATTCAAAGCTTCCAAAAAGTACCTCACGAGACTTCATATCAGTGCAAAAGATGGGTCGATCGTAGAAGGGCCCAGCAGAATATATTTTCCATGGGTTGAGTTTACGGAAGAACCTACTGAGTATGAAAACTGGAATAAGGTATCGTACGCGAAACAATGGATAGTAAGTCTATCGGCCGAGACATTTTGTGCTTATTTGACGACCCATCATGTGAACCAGTTAAATCTACATGGGGGTACACCCTGTAAAAGGAGGCTAGATGATAGGGAGCGACCTTGGTCCTCTACTGGGAGCGGAGGTCTACGATACCAAAATCCTAGGTGCTCAGAAAGCTCTCGATGCTGCCATACGAAAAGCAGGCCACGGCTCGATCAAGGTGCTTCTCGACAACTCTACAGCCGAGAGAACTGTTCAGAGCGGCCGAACAAAGTCGTCCTAGGAGGTAGTGGAAAAGTTCACAACACTAGCATGACAAGCTACGTCAGTTGTAATTCGGTGGATACTTGGCCATTCTGGCATCACATGATATGAGGCAGACAGACTGGCTAAGCTAGCCCTGAAGATTTTTCCAGCTGAGACAGTGTTACGGTTTGACCGTTGTTTGAGCTTAGGTGGATACCTAGGCCTGTTACTAAGAATTCTTTCAATGAGGCTGTATAGGGGGGAGATAAAGCTGAACGAAACGGCACTACTACTTAGGAGGCTCAAGCGTCATTACAACTTAGTGACACCCGGAAATACGTGGCTGGGTAAGAAGTATTGTGCCTAAGGAGAAGTCACTAGTCTGTAGATTCACGAGGAGGATTAACTCTTATAAATACCTGTTAGTAGTAGCTAGAGTTAGCTTTTCTCCTCATAGTTTATTAAATCGATTTATTCATCACCAACTCGGTTTCCGTCACAGACAGACCCACATACACCTTCGCGGCCCTAATCCAAATTTCTAGACAAAGATGCGAGAAAGCGGTGGAGTCTTGGTGGCTGCAGTATAGACCTAAGCGTCACAAAGAGCTAGATCTAAAATGAAACGGAAATGTCCACCGGAGTTAGCAATTCCGAGATAGGCGCACTACAGCCTGGTCGTAGTGAGTATAGGCCATGGCGATTTCAGGAATAACCATGAAAGGTTTGGCCCTGAGTTTAAGAGCTGCAAATATGTTTGAGGAAGATAGTAACGTTCCTGGAATTTTGCAGAATGTCGGACGGCGCTAGGGCTATGGGGAAATTTATGCGAGGACTACAACCAAGAGGACGAGGGAAGCTAGCGGAAAAGGGATGGGAAAACTTTTTCTGTTTTAAAAGGCTAACTAGCCAATGGTAAAAGCAGAGTCCAAACTGGCAGGATTAAGTCATGCCGAGGGATTATATTCAACAAGGAAAATTGTTCTGAGGGAAAGGCGCAGGACATTTTATTCTTGAAATGAACCTCTACTTATATTTTTTGAATATAGATTTGTAAGGAAAACTATCTAATGAGGTTGATATGAGCTCTTAGGGATCATAGACCCGTATCATGCCTATTGGATGTAGGGCGTACGCTTGATACGACAAGTATCCAAATCAAATCAGATCTTGGCTTGCAATAATTGCTATGGTAATAACCGAATTCATATCTCTGACAATCGTGTCCACCAATGCAAACGTGCCATATCCTGTTTTCCTTATATGGGTATTAATATATGAAAACTTGATCCTGTTGGTCAAAATACCCCAAGGTCGTTACCCCCTCGACAAATTTAGGTTCTATCATGACCAACGATGACCTCTTTTGTCTCTCCTTCCGTACCCCAGCTATACGTCCTCACTCAAGTGGCGAAATCCCACTTAAGCAACGGTCCTCTATAAGTTAAGGGCAGAGTGTCATATATCGTTACTTATGTTCTTCCTTATGATAAATTAGCATCGTAATTTGATAGTAATTGCAGACAATAGCTCCTATTTAAAATTAGAGCAACTAGTGGATCAATTCTTAGGTGAGTTGGAATGTGGTAAGATTGTGTTCGAGGGCTCGGGTGAGAATAATCGGAGCGATATTGATGAGGGGCCATTGAGAGTAGACATTGTTGTGTTTGCTTTCGATTTTGATTCGAATCCAATTCTTCTCGAGTATCCTAGATGTGAACCTCATACTGAACGTCTACACCGTGTAAAAGTTTAATGAATTCAGATGTATTTGAAAGACAACAAATCGATAGGAATTAATAACTTCTTCCTTGGAAAGACAATCTAGCACGTAGTCTCTCACCACTTATATGCTCTGCGTAGACTAGTATTAACTCCCCACCTTGGCCATATTAGAATCATCTTTCTCCTCGGTTCACCTCTTCTCCTGTACCGTACTCCCCATCTATTACCTACCCCCTTTATTACCTCCTTATGTGCACCATTCGGATTTCTGGGAGCGCCGCTTTGTTACAGCTTAATATCGAAGACGGAGTGGTTCTAGTGACCAGTTCCAATCCGGGAAAAGTCCATCACACACTGTCGCTACTAGAAATTGAAGAGCCCGTATTTGTCGGTATTTGCATGGATGAAGAAGACCATAGAAATCAAAGGTTTTAAACTCCCATTTGGTGGTACTCATGAAATTTCAGCTTTTAGAGTGGACAGCCATGCCTTGCAATAGCATTTTAAAATTGACTCCAGATTGTAAGTGGTTCTAGAGTCGAGAGGAATGTTGGTATTAGGAGAGTCTCGCACCCAGCAGTTTTTGAGAGACTTTCCTGCAGTTACATACCCGAAAATGACCGTCGTTACGTTAACTGGACAGGGCAGATAATGAAGGGATAAAGGCTTCTCTTAGTATGTACTTAAATGAAGACTTATGGCGGTATTGCTGCTGTTAAAAAGTCATGAGGGAGGCATAGATACTCCTAGCATGTAGGTAGAAAGGACCAACATGTCCTTATACAGTCATAGACTCATTTGAGCAATAAACACATCAACTGTAGTCAAAAGAGTCATACAACTTCCACACGTGATACAGATCACATGCTGTCACTAGCTCACTGCCTATTCTTTAAGATTTTGAATTCGAATTCAATTAACCCGATCAGGCACCCTATGGGTCCATGCAGGTGACTATCTGCATTATTTGCAAAGGAGGAAACCAATTTGGTGAAAACCCCCTGATCCTGTCTTTTTATGTTTCTATCAATTTATTTGGTTTACCTTCAGGAAGTGCAGTGTACACTGTTCAGCCCGTGTGGATTCCGTCCTCTCCCCTTCCAGATCTATTTACTTTATCCGACATTATTACCTTGACTTCTCCTGCCAGTCGAAACTGTTTTATCTACCCTTTGTTTAGTATCCACTGTGTAATTCTAGCCATGTCTTCTGGGCTCTTCATAATTGCTTCAAATGACCTGTCTTTAGCTTGTCGGAGAAAGTCGCCTCTTCCATTTGCCCACTGCGGACACGCCAACACCATATGCTTGACGTTTTGCGACGGATATCCACATTGACAGTTTGGCTTTTCTACTCCGGGTACTTTTCTTCTGCACAGGTAAGAATTGAGTCCGACATGCTCGCTCCTTAGCTGAATGGCGACACTGCTTTGGGCCCTGGTTAGGTTACGGAGGATTCTTAAGGGTGTATCTTTGAAGTTCATTTTGACGCTGCCTGTTTGTTTATCAGTAAATATATTTGCCGCTTTCCAATGTTCCGGATCGGCTGATGCTGGTCGGCCAGAGCGGTGTTTCCTGATCTGGCTTTTCCATGAATCCTTTCACTCCTGAAAGGCCGCTATCTTTCCAGCTTCTTTCTGCCTTCTCTTATCCTTTTCCCTTCTGCAAGTTCTTGTCCATTCGGCGATATCTTTACTCCTGGTCAATGCATGCGGAGTTTCTCTCCCGTTTGCGGGCAGCTTTATCCTCTTACATGTCGATCGGATTGTCTCTTGAACTGGGAGTTTATCTGGTAGTCCGGCGTGCTGGACCCTCCTTTGTTTCAGGTATCTTTCCTTTTGGCCCGGCTATTCTTTAAGATATTAAATATAAAACATTATAAATTATACATCACGTGATCTGACGTGCGACATCTACATCAGCATGTAGCTTGTGTATGCGTAGCTAACTCCTCTGCACATACTGCCGATTTACCCCCTATGTTTAAGTTAATGCTAAATTTTTGCAATTCTATTCACCCGCGGTTTGAACCACTCCAAGATAGCCTTCAGATTACAAAAATTTAATCATTCCTCTCATTCTTGATGCGATCATAACACAAACGCTACATACATCGAATGGGCACTTGCCAAAAATTAACAAAGCATGAACAGTATCCGAAAAATTAGGGAGCTAAACTTAAGGGAATTAGAAAATGGAATGTCTGTCTCACCTCGACTAATATAACATTTATTAACTTGCCGCAGTTCACCAAATGCATCTTGGCACGTAGATTATAGAGACACAGCTTACATCTATATAGGTGGCCTCCCAACTGAGTTGACTGAAGGAGATGTGGTCACAATATTTTCGCAGTACGGTGAACCCACATACATTAATTTAATACGCGACAAGGAGACAGGAAAGTCTCGTGGCTTTGCGTTCCTCAAATACGAAGATCAACGCAGTACAGATCTTGCTGTTGATAACCTAGGGGGGGCTGTTATCCTGGGAAGAACGCTTAACGTTGACCATACGAGATATAAAAAAAAGGCAGATGAACCAGATGAGGGCCATTCCCTCACCAAAGAGGACGAAGTTGAAGGATCAGACACAGAAGAGGAATTAACCGAAGATTTTTCCCAAGAGAAGTTAAAATACGACACGAAGCAGCCAGCATGCGAGGCAGAGCAAGAACTAGAAAAATTACAGCAAAATCATGATGACGAGGATCCCATGAAAAATTATTTTATTCAGGAGAAAAAAGACCAAATAGCCGCAGAATTAGCGAAAAATCGGAAGAAGTCAGCAAAATCACATAGGGACCGCCATCTTCATAGTTCAAGCAGAAGATCCAACAGAAAAAGAGAATCTTCCAAGGATCGGCACCCGCGACGGCGAAGTAAGGGCCTAGGAGAAAAAAATCCTGAGTCTAATGGAAGGAGAATAGTGTGATAATTACTAATAACTTATATCAAATAGAAATTCTTCAATTAGTCATGAGAACCAAAGCGGTAGAGATTCTGTAATATAAATCTAAGTTTTGAAATGCACGCCCGACACTTATTACGAGCAACTTTCACACATGACGGACTATCAAGAAGGGTGCAGCAGCAGATGCTCTGGTTATATGCGTTACCGGTATGACGCCCCGACATTTTGAGTGGCTGCGTGGACGTCGGCCCAATCATTGGTAGGACAGCACGTGTCATTCCAAGGATTCCAACGACTAGTTTCGAACAGATACGAGCCTTGCGTGTGATAAACCATCATGAAAAGTTTATCATGGATATTGGTGTTCATACGAAACCCTTGGGTTGTAGAAGATGAGGGACAGGAGGTTTCGTGTTAGCAACTTTATTTGAACAGTTGATAAACTCCTATGTACATATATACAGTTTTGTATCTTCCTGGACACTTTTCTCTCTAGTTTAGAATCTTATGATTTGAGTCCACAACAGCTTTTAACCACTTGCCAGTTGCCTTTACCCCTCGAGTTTCCACACAGGCAGCACTTGTTGCATCAGCAGCAAATCTCCTCCAGCTAAACCGGTGAACAAGTCGGATTTCTTTTTTGAGCTAGTGACAAAAAGCCCGAAATCAAAATTCATAAGTCTGCTTCTGAGAGCAATGCTTGCCTACGTGCGCGGCTTGTTTCGGTCAGTAGTTCTATTATCTTTGGAGACTGGAACTTTTGTCAAAGGTCTCTGACGGGCCCTAGGACAGTGTAGTTATTATCTCTTAGTAATGACGTCTTGTAAGGCAATTTTAGGCTCCGAAATTTTTCTATACTTACTCCCTCGTGTTGTAGGTGTCATAAGCTAGAGCCTAGAAAAAATTAGGAATGAGCCTAAGACTTATTGATATGGAAGTAGTATTATAATTTAGGGGTAAAGTGGAGAAAGCCTAGCACCCTGCATCCTATGAATTGAAGCACATCTGGGTTTGAACATGGAAAAGTGGAAGAACCAAGCCAGGGCTGATATTGGAGTGTTTGGGCAAGGAGCCCCTCCCCCATCTCATTTCCTCAATTCCTTTTAACAATTTGGAATTATGGCAGAAAGCCAGAATTATTCTATAGTAAAGCTTCCGCCAATCATTTTCCACTCCGGCTTAAGATTCTATTTTGTAACGGAATCTAGAGAATTCGTGAATAACATCTATTTGACGACGCTTACAGTGAGGTAAAAGATCGAGAGGAATTCCAGGCCGTTGGAGAGGGAGGAAGAGTGATATGAGAGCACAGGAGCTAGTGAATAGAGCTTTTGACGTAAGGCCGTAGGAGTTTACGAGAGGAGCAATGAATATCATCTCCAGAGATATTCAGTAAACGCCATGAAGTCTCTTTGTTCTTTAGCCTCACAACAGATTATGAGCCCGGAATGGTCTGGCTTCTTTGGGGATGTGATTTGGGGCATTTGAGCCGAAAGGGTGGAGGTGGTTGGTCGAGGTGAAGGGATGGCCAGTCAGAGCCTCAACCGAAGATTGACCAGTAATGCTTCGATAAGGGAGTCTAGTGTAAAGGCAGACTGCCATAGATATTGCTTCGGCCCAGAGAAAATTATCTGTGGCGCATCAGCATTATGTGAGCCTTGGTAACAACTGTTTGATTAAATATTTCCGCCATACCGGTAAACTCTCTTTTTTTTAAATCTTTAATGTGTATTCAGCAATCTAGCTATGACACATGAACGGTGCTATGTATACATGTTGGATGACTCTTTTGACGATAGAGACACTCATACTCTGGATTTCATTCGCAAATACCACTAGGAGAGATGTCCGCTTACACAAACAGTCAACCCTCCTCCGTTAGTACTCACTAAAGGGAGGTTTCAAAACCTTTGGTTATCCAAGCATGCCTTCGTCATCCATGTATACCAGCGTCGCGAGAAATGTGCTTGTGTTTTGCTGGATTTGAACCAGCGATCTACTGTCTCGAGTGGGATATGTGCCCAAGCTATCCAGACTCTACTTGGCAGACCGGCCAAGACGATGTACCACCGCACCATCCAACCATGGCGGTGTTTATAGTGTCGCCTGTACTTTCGCGACCGAAGTCTTGCCACGCACAAAGCTCAATTTGTAAAAACTCCTTGCCAAAATTCACAATTCCACACCCGTCGAGACTGTATCCATCCTTCGCTCATCTTGTTAACTTGTCCTGAATTCTCTTACGTCAATCCCAAAGAACAGTCTCCCAGATTTGTGCGCCACGCTTTGTGTCCTCCGTCGGGTGAAAATATCGGCGTGGGCGTGTTTTTGGCAATCAGCTAAGGCCAGAGAAAGTCGACGAGAGGTGTGGTCATTGGAATGAGGATGTACTTGGTCGTACTTGTAGACTTAATGAGGCTTAGGGAAGAGTCGGTCTCTTTGGGAGTGAAAAATTGACGTGGTGAAGTATTCTGAATCATTGCCTCGTGGGCCAACTTCTTTGATATTGCGAAATTTGACTGAACTTGGCTCTGGGAAAATATTTCACTCCCAGGTTCGTAGAGCACACTACCGGTAGACTCTTGTGGGTATGCAGTAGGTTTTCGCAAGAAGATACCAGTTACTGCAAGAAAAGTCTCGACATCTGGATTAATGTGTTCACCGCCGTTATCAGTTTGGAGGGGTTTGTCATTGTGCCAAACTGCGTTTGGATCAACTGTACGAAATCTTGGATTGCCCCTGAAGCAGCAGATGTTTGCTTGAAAAATGCATGCATGCTTGTCTAAAGAAATTGACGATAAAGGTAATGTAACAATCTTTTCCGCCAAGTGACTTGACGGAAAATCGTCTAGTTAAATTAGAGCGTACGAGTTCAAATTTGTTAGAAGCGCGCTTATGCGTAGACTTAGGAGATTAGATTGGATATGATATCATCTTTATGCATTTTGAGATCCACTAGGGAGATCAAAAATTCGAGGACTGATATCGTTATTTCGCGATCAAATTCTTTTCAAAGTTTGCCACGAGAACCGAGCAGAACTGATGTTGCCAATGAAGACAGCGACGATCCTTCGGAGATTAGTGGATACTCGAGCGTGAATTTCAGAATGTGCAGCGTTGTTCCTTTTTGCCATGTCCTTTCTGATTTGACGATTGAATGTTCTTCCCTTTTTCCGTGTAGCTCGAAGTGAAATTCGAGGGGCGAATTAATATATCGTTAAGATATGTGATGACACTTTAGTAGTCAGATCCCATGAGAACAACTTGCCACATCTGTGCTTATGTCCGATACTGGAACTGAGAGAATAGCAGGTGTCATGTATGGACATGATTCAACGTTTGTATTTAGTGTTTCATCCATGACTACATCTCAGTGATAGGAGAAACATCATTGAATGGTTACTAGAGACCTAGTCATGATCCTAAACATACAACTGAGACAAGGAGAATCTTACTGAGTAAGTAATAATTCTGATAAATGTAGACCTAGAGGAACGTAGTCAGGTTGATTGGCTTGAGGTATGTGAGCCGGAGCATATCAAATATAATAAAATATATAGAAATCGATCTCGATTACAATCATCTTAATCCATGTCACCATGAATAGCTGAAAAGGATATCTCTACATTTCCTTATAGCAGGTGAGGATTGGCTAAGTAGGTGTCAGATATTGAGATGTCAATAAGTCGAGATTTCAAGATTTCAAGATGCGAAAGAATTCAATAGTATCGAAAGATTTCCTAGGACTACGAGACCATAATCTGCCAAACCAGAGTTATTCCAATCATCCATAAAATATTCCTCCCTATTGTTCTAGAAATTTCCAGTATACTCTTATACAGTATAGAATGGAGTAGAATAGAATAGTATAGACAAGTATAAATCAGAACAGAACGAAATAGAATAGAATGGAATAGAGTAAGATGGAATAGATCAGATCAGGAAAGAATACGGCAGAATAGTACATAAATCTTCATACATAGCTCCTATTGATTCAGAATAGGCCCTTGGTCCGTGATAGGGGTTCTAATAGAAATAGAGGCTGTATAGGGGAACATGGTTGAGGAAACGTTCCCCTGGGTAGGTATTCACGGATGAGGGTTGACTTGGGGTGAGGAAAAAGCCACCATAACTTCGCAGTGGTACTTGCAAATGAAATCTGAGGCATGAGTGCTCTTCCTTAACGATGAATCATCCATTCTGTACATTTCTTTGATATTGTGTCATAGCTAGATAGCTGCATACGCAATTCAAATCTGATGCAAAAAAAAAAAGGTTGAGGAGAGAGCTAAACCCGGGCTCATAACCTGTTGTGAGGCTATAGATCGGGAGGAAGGAATAATGAAGCGGTATAGTTCATGTTCATATTCATACTCACTATGTATCACACTACCATGCTTCATTCTAAAGCTCTATTCAAATACTTCATTGTTCGACAGAAATTATTCACTTCCCTATACCGTTTCAGCATTCCTTCCTCACGACCCATAGTCTCACAATGCCTCGTACCATGTCGTCTATTTTCTCCAAATATATTTTCCGGAATGCGTACTATTTGTAGTCGGATGGATATATATCTGAAGGTCTAAGTCTGATCTTGATCAGAATATGGTCTTGTCTGATAGTCCAGTCCTTGCGCGCCGAAAAGTACTAAATCTTGCTCATTATGTCATCACCTGTGTATGAAAGATAGAGGACTATTTTTTGCAGAGTTCTCTTTGTAGCTTTTCTTAGAAACGTTGTGATTCCATACGGTATGGCTAGACGTAGCTCATTATCAGTAACTGCATTGAGAAGATTCTACGATTTTGAATCTTCAGGTGCCGTTGTCCCACCCCATATGGAATGATGATAGTTAATGTCACCTAAAAGTAAATTTTTTTGTTAATTATCATGGATAGCCTTTACTGTGGTGTCCTAACCAATAAGCTTTGGGCCTCTTATTGTTAGACTGTACATATTTACTACCCGGAAGGTAACACTATCCAGTCACAGATGATGATGATTATATTTATCGTGCC